GTGACATAAACGAACTTGCACCAGTAATTTATTATTCCATCTCTTCTCCCGGATTCACAATTCGTTCATTCAAAGCGGGTGAGAGCATCATATCAGATTTTGGTAGAATTCAGGCCGACTCACACACCATACATAGATCAATCCAGCAACAACTTATTCACGACCCTGGAACAGAGAAAAGCATACAATACTATGGACCTCGCCACACTACTGTTGAAAGCCTTGAAATCTCGATGGCTGTCAGCAGAAATTCGACAGCCGCCCTTCGACAGTTTGCCCCCCTTCGTTACACAGCACTGTTGAAGTGAGAACCTCAGGAATGCAATTCCAAAAGAGACAAAACCCCGTGACTGTAGGACAAGCATTCCTTCGCCCCAATCACTGTCCCACTGAGCAAATTCGGAGAAGAACTGGATAGACGGACGGAGGACAGTTGAGAAAGTCGAAGTTGCAGCCTGAGGCTTGTCGAAACCATTTCAGGGAAAACTTGTGAATTCTTTTCCCATGTCCAGTTTCTACAGGCTGTGTGGCGAGGAGAAACAGTCCAAATTTTCATTGTCGACAGTGGTGTGGCGAGCCCCTATGGCTTGAAAAGGCATGCATACACGAGGTGAAGGCCGGACGACTAGAACTGCTATAAAAAAAGGCGAAAAACATATTACCCTGGTCCATGGATGCTCAACCATCGTCCAACTACACCTTCATTGCATGGGAACGGGCAGTCTGTGGTTGTGCACACGATGAATCCGTGGGCAATCATCCTGCATGATCTGTTCAGCACGTTATGTTCATGCAAGTTAAAGTATCTATCGCACAGAACTTGCCAGCCACGCTTGATCATCTGCCACTGCGGCACCGCCTCCACGCTTGATCGTCTGCCAGCGCCTCGGACACACCTGACTCACTAACCAACCACCAAGTGGCACCGACTGATAGAACGACCCACCATGACTTATTGCGAAAGACAAAGAGTGAGGTGGACCTGCTGTTGGATAAGAAGAGATCCATGGATTGCGCATGATGGAGCCAGGGTGTGGGGGACACAGCCTTTCTCCACATGACAATCTGACATGGACAGCCATGGGAGCAGTCAGAGAAGCGGAGGACAAAATAAAAAGGGTTCACCGCACCACTCTCGAAATGTGAAAAAGACAAAAACTTGTGGCGGGTGCATCTGGCCATGATCTAGCGGGAACTGAAATTCTCATTTTGCACATTTCGAGAGTGGTGTGAAAGCCCAAAGGTGGGAATTGGGTTTCAAGACTGAAGGGCAATGATGGAAAACGGACGAGAGAGAGAGAGAAGAGGAAAACCCTGTCAGCCAGTTCAAAGGAAAAGAAACTTTGGCCCTCTTTTTTTCGTGTGTTCTGGCCGGTCAGAAGCCGTCCAGCCTAGCGGGCCCGGTGAACTCTTTTTTTTTTTTTTTCTGGCAAACTTCTTTTGGGGTCGTCAGGCGCCCTGAATACAAAATAAAAAATATTGGGAGGTGCGCCGTCCTTGGGCCACCACCCTGTTTTTCTTTTTTAATTGTTTTTGGATACAATTTAGGATTTCAACAAAATTGAAAACAAGGAGAAAAGCAAAATGCAGTGTTTTCTTTCTTTCTTTGCTTTCGTTTCTTTTCTCTCGATTTATTGAAGTCATCCTTACACAGCTCTCTCTCTCTCTCTCTCTCTCTCTCTCTCTCTCTCTCTCTCTCTCTATGTGTCTCTCTCTCTCTCTCTCTCTGTCTCTCTCTCTCTCTCTGTCTCTCTCTCTCTGTCTCTCTCTCTCTCTCTCTCTCTCTCTCTCTCTCTCGCGCGCGCGCGCGCGCGCGCGCGCATGCGTGCTTACACACACACGCACAAACACAACGAAGGCCGGGAGGTGCAAAGAATGGAAATTCCGCACTTCTACGAGGGGAGGCCTGGCAGCCAGTCCGAATGGCAGGGGGGGCGTCTGACCGGAAACCCGGTTGTTTGGACAGGCGGGTTCCCCGTCGGGGGTGCTGGATGCGAATGCAGAAAGCAGTATGATATAGCATGCATGCAGTAGGTGAAGAAGGTGGTGGTGAGCAGCACCTGCTGGAAAACGGGTCCAGCGTGCCTTAACATTTTTGGTTGCTCTTGGTGTACACAGAATTACTCGCCTACAAGAGTAACAAGACTGCCTACTATGGATACAATTTCGTCATCCATCCTTATTTCAAAAATAAAGGAAGAAAAAGGGACATTAGATGAACTCTTCAAATATGCTGGGGGTAGCCGGATCATTGAGAAACCACAATATGCAAACCCAGTAGAAGAAAGTGAATAGGGGTGCGAGAAACAGCGCATGCCAGAAAGTGGATAGTCACAGCTGGATGTCTTCAGAGGGACGATGGCAGAGAGTAGAAGATTACCAACGTGTCACTACCGTCAATTCTGTTCCAACTGACAAACTTTATTCTGGTCCACCTTGTCCTCCCCCCCCTCTCTACCCTCCTCACCCCTCGCCCCCGCTCTCCTTCCACCCCCCCCCTGCCCCCACTGATACACACTGTCCCCTCCCTCATCTGCCCTGATATCCTGATGCCAGAATTGATATTGCCTTGACTGCCCGCTCTCTCTCTATGCTTCTCTGAAATCCTGCTCCCTACCTGCCCAAGTGAGAATCTCACTGTCTGCATTAGAAAGATTTTCAGCTAACCCCCTCATACATGGGCAATCAAATGCTCCCCTAATCTGTAGATTACCAAATGCGTAGTTAGGAAATGGGATGTTGTACACGGTTTCCAGCAGGTACAGCTCCACCAAAATAGAATGGGGCTATGACAATGACGTAACATTGTCTTGGGGGATGCACCAGTCATTTTTTATTTATAACTAAGCTAAATGCCGCTATCAAATTCCCCTTTACTGCCCGCCTAGGACTTCTCCTAAGCCTATTCAGCGGACCCCTGCACGCATCTCGCAATCAAAGAGATGCATGTCGTCGCCCTCCAAAACCGATGGTGCCGCCGGTACGAGGGTATGGCTAACGCAAAGATCGAGCATTTTGCCGGTAGCTGGGCCTGCTATCTACTTCCCCCATCTAGCAAAAGCAGTGTATAAGGCCAACACTCCCGCACACACCACATTCAATCCACACACAATCCACACACAATTCACGCACAGACGTGTTGGCTTGCGAAAAGTCGACCATTTCTCTCACAAGCACCGCTTACTCTGGGCGACGCCGACGCGGTGAGTCCTTATTCATCAGCCACATGCATCCGGGCAGACTGTCTGCCGCGTCCGGGTTCAACCTCCTGATGAGTCAGTAAAAGTCCAAGGAAACAGTCATGCTTTTTGTGTGGAGGGTTGTATAGCCAACATGACAACACACACATGCAGACGTTTCTCCACAGAAAAAGCATGACTGTCCCAGACATGGTAGGGTTTTAGCTAAAAACCCTACCATTACCGACCAGGAGGAGCTATCTGAGCTGCTCCTATCCACTCCAGGAGCTCCAGGGGTCGCTCCGCGTCAGACGTTTCTCCAAAAAAACAAAAGAAACGCATCCCCCCTCCTTGTAAGACCAGGCAAGGCCCCACTACAATGGACTCAAAAATAATCTGAGGCAAGCTCATTACAGTAGGGTTAGGTTTTTTATGAACATTCCATAACATAACAATCCAGCATTAACCAGTTATATATCAAACCCTCTATCCTATTTAGGGCTAGATTTTGAGAACCCCCATTATTGATATTAAAATGAAACGAAAACAAGCCCAAGATGCCATCTCACTTCCGTCTACGCGGCAAGACCAGTCCGAGTGATTGTTCACCAATCCGGAAGCCGCAGGCTGACCCCATCCACATTGGGCAGCTTGGTGATTTGTCGACGCATCTGTGGCTCCAGCTCCTCCTCGAGGAAGCAAACGATGCGCACCTCCTGCGCCGCCTGGGCTCCCAAGTTTGCAAGAACCCATCTCCTGATGAGGACGTGACTCACGTGAGTTTTGTCCACGGTCTCAAGAAGAGAGCGTGAGCTGTTCACACCTTCTGCAGGCCAGGGCTCAAGAAGGAGCTGTGACCAGATAGTATCAGCTTTTTCTGCCAACTTCTCCCTCCATGCTGAGGTGTGGATAGCCCCTCTGCTAGTTCGACGTGTCCTTGGCTGTTGTTGTTGTCGGAGTCCACGATGGGGACGATCGTCACCTTTTGCGCTTCTCTCACCTCTCCGCGGTAGTCAGTTAGAATATGACCCTCCTTCCAGAGCAACACATTGGAGCCTTCGATCTACCTGATAACGTTTTCTTCTGAACTCCCCGCCAGAGTGGATACATGCTTGGTGGTTATCCAGAGCACCTCCTCTGTACCCACCAGCTTGGCTGTGACAGCGCTCAACCAGATTATGGCATAGTCACCGAGTGTCACATTTCCTTGTGCCATCATCCTGCTAACATGGGGCCTAGGACAGGCCTCCTTGGAAAGGCCAATCAAATCACACGCAGGCCACCACCATGTTTACGGATATCGCCGTTTTCAAACTCCACACCCGATTCTGTTGCCCTCACATGTTTGTTTTGCCCTTTCGAAACTGAAAGTGTGACACTGCCGGACTTGTCTCTTTATTTATTCTTACCATCGGAACACAGCAGCTCATCTATCCTCATCCTACCTGTTCGTCATGCGAAACGGAAACACTCTCACCCTTCTGTCACCTCCCTGTCTCCCTCCCATTTCATTCCTCCTTTCCTTTGTCTATGTACATCAGATCCACCCGAAGACATTCCCAACAAGTCTGCTCCCATTTCCTTTTGTCTATGTACATCAGATCCACCCGAAGACATTCCCAACAAGTCTGCAAGCCTTCTGACCTCCCGGTACACACCTTCCCGAGACAAAGCAATTATTACAGTCGTGGCAAAACTCTACTCCAGTCTTTATATTTCCCGCAATAAGAATGTGCTGCGCTACAAAATTCCAAGATTGCAACTTTCTGTGCTACAAGATTCCAAGATTCCAACTTGCAGCACCACCGACTCCGCTCCTTCGCTCTCGGCTAGACGTTAGTAAAATATATGAGATTCATCATGTTATAAGCTCCATGATGGCATTGATAATGTCTCCACCGGAATTCTTCAGAGCCTGAATAGCCTTCGCGCGAGAAACACCGACCTGGGTTTGGACGATGTCAACATCCCTGGGATCAACGTCGGTGTCATCTACCTCCTCTTCCTCTGCATCTGCCCCCCAAGGAGCTTTGGACAGCTTCTGTTCCATTTGGGGTGCCAAATCAGGAGCCTTAAACTGCTCTGCAGCATTAAACTGGGCCTGCGAGGTCAGGTCCTCGATCTTGGCCTTGCCAAATATAATATATGTCCGAATTGGGGCTTTTGAACACATCCGGCTTGGAGATATCAAAGAGACTGTTCTTGCTTTTCCTGAGCGTTACTGTGATAACTCCCGGGACAGGCTGCATGCCCAACTTCTGCATTGCCTTGCGACTCTTCTTTTCACTCCGGCTTTGCTTGGTCCTTCCAGGCCCTGCAACATCATCCTCCCCTTCATGTCCGGGGGCCTCGTTCAGGCCGGGTCGGTCGTCACCATCTTCCTCGTCATCCAAATAGTGATCCCGTCCGATAAGGCGTTTCACCTCGTAGAGTACGTCCTCCGGCTTCCTCAGCACTTGTTTCTTCTGTGCTTGCTGGCCCACCAAACACATCTTGTCCGTGAATGCGACAACAGATGGTGTCGAGCGTTTGCCGGACACGTCCGGTATGACCTCGACTTTCCCATTGCGACACACAGCCACCGAGCAAGAAGACGTACCGAGATCGATCCCTATCCAACGTTCCGGGTTAGCGTGGACCATCTCATCGGAATCCGCGTCCAGCGAGGAAGAGGACGTGCGCAAATTATCCCCCAACCGACTTGATTGTGAATGCCCCAGCTGTCCAGCCATTGTCCTTCTTCTCACGCCTTCGCTTCCAAGTTCCAACCGACTTGAACTCCAAAGATCCAATATTAAATTCCCCCTAGGCGGCAGTTGTCTCTAATAGACTCTCTATGTCTTAGTCATGTCCTAGTATGCCCCCCCGTTGAATGCACACTGGTCAAAGTGACTCTCCTCCAACTCTTCTCCCTGTTCTTTCCTCTCCCGGCAAGTACTCCATACCCCGGTCTTCTCTTGAAAACACAAAAACAGAAAACACAACCGTGATATACTCCCTTGTTGTTAAGAACAAGTATGCGGCTTCTCTCTTGTGCCTCTACTGCGTACGTCCTCCCTCCGTCCTCCTCCCCTGCTTCTTACCTCGAGCACCCTTGCTTTCTCCCCTCCCCCCTCCTCCCCTTTGACTCCTATGTTACAAGGGGGAGTCCTGCTCACACACCACCGGGGGACAAGTCCCACTTACCCCAATTCTCAATCTCTGACTGTAGATTACGAAGAGCAAACTTTTAAGGCCAGAAATGAGGAATCAGCGTAAGTGGGACTTGGCCCCGGGGACAAAAAAATATCGAGCACCACTGCCTCTTCCCTACAAGATGCTGTTATCTCTGCTCTTCAATCATCAACGTCATTGTCGCTCGTTGTCCTCTTCATTTCGACCTCCGACCAAGGGCTGACCGTGGAAAAAGGTCTGCGAACAAGGGAGCTCCCGCTTTCACTCCCAGACGACTGTCAATCGATTCTGCTCGCCATCTGAAAGGGGACAGCAATCAAGCCACCAATGCCACAATCATTCGAGTAGAACGGCAATTCGATACAGATTTTCCCGCAAATTTCGACTTGTTTCGGACCTGAAATTAAACCGCATGAGCAGCGCACATTCGGGATGCATCCATCAAGGAATGTAAACAGTGATGAACGCGGACTCGCGGATATGATAAAGGGGCAATTGCAAAAATAGCGCGTTCTTGAAGTTTGGCAGCAGAAATGTTATACGGGCCCGAAACATCTATTTTTGCAAGGAAAGTGGGGCCCCGCCAGCAAATATTTTTGCTGTGAAACTACGGGGACCTCTAAAGCTGCAACGAAAGATACATTTTTGCAACGAAACTTGGGCCCCGCCAATATTTCTGCTGCCAAACTTCAACAGGCCATGAACACCTACCACGCTGGAAGCAACAGGGCCTGATAAACGCATCAACAGATAAATTAAATCTCTCTCTCTCTCTCTCTCTCTCTCTCTCTCTCTCTCTCTCTCTCTCTCTCTCTCTCTCT